GTTTAATAACCCCCTCCCCATCTCCGCGAAAGCCCAGATGGCTTCGCCTCTCCACGCTGACGCCGTGCGCGGCACGGATCCCCCGCAGCCCAGCCAGCCCTGGCTGCAAACACGGCCCACGCAACCATCACTGGGTGGGTTTTTATTTTTAATCCCAGGCCTCGCTTTGCCGACACGCATCGCTCCTGCCACAGAGAACGGCAAACCACAAGCTGCACGGCTCGGCATGGGGAGGGAAGAGCGGCAGGCAGCCCCACGGCCTCGGTGGGAGCGGGGCAGGCAGCGGTGCCCTGGTCCTTCCCATGCCCGGGGGGGGCTGCAGTGCGGGCGGGGGGCAGCTGATGCTCCCACAAAGCATTGTCAGCAGTAAACCCAAAACTTTGATCCTCGGGTAGCTCCATCAATGTTTAATGCACCAAAGCCCTGCTTGGGCTTGGAAGATGAACATTTTGAGGCCAAATTGAAGTTTCTAATATTATGAAATTCAAATAATTTTAACACGCCCAACGCTTCCCCAGGCATGTACCTGGACTGCTAATGAGGGGCTGTCTCCGGCGGCTGTTGGTTTCAACACAAAGCAAACAAGCTCTTTGCAGATGCCTTCAAAGATTCGGGGATGGTGGGTGCCGGGGCAGTAAATGGGGGCGAGCGCACCCGGAGCAGGCGCCCTGCGACCGGGCAGGAGAGCTCCCATGCGGCCTCAGCGCCTGGCAAGTGATGTTGCTCCCGAATTCTTTTTTAAGTGATGGTTTACTCTTCCTGGAGGATGAGGCCGTTGCAGCCCAGCTTGCTCGGCATGATGGGTTTTTGGGAAACCAGCTGCCATCCCAGTGTGCAGCGGGTGCAGCGGGTGCAGTGGGTGCAGCGGGTGCAGTTGGTGCAGTGGGTGCAGTGGGTGCACTGGGTGCAGTGGGTGCAGTGGGTGCACTGGGTGCAGTGGGTGCAGCGGGTGCAGTTGGTGAAGCGGGTGCAGCGGGTGCAGTGGGTGCAGTGGGTGCTGTGGGTTCAGTGGGTGCAGCAGATGCTGTGGGTGCAGCGGGTGCTGTGGGTGCAGCTGGTGCACTGGGTGCAGCGGGTGCAGTGGGTGCACTGGGTGGAGCGGGTGCAGTGGGTGCTGTGGGTGCTGTGGGTGCGGCAGGTGCAGTGGGTGCACTGGGTGCAGCGGGTGCAGCGGGTGCTGCAGGTACAAATCTCAGCAGGCAGCAAGCCACTGCTGATCCCTGCCTGGCCTTGGCCGAAGCTCCTCATTCCCAGTTTCTCCAGCCCCTCATGGATCTGAGCTGGGCTGCCCCCCCCAGCCTGTGCCAGGCTGTTCCCCAAACCCCCATCACGCCCCTGCATGCCCGTGCCAGCCCCAGGCTCTCCCATCCATCCACCCAGCCCTGCAGGGAATATTTCATTTTTACTGTGCTCTCGGCGCAGCTCTCCTGACCCACACCGGCTGCTTTAGGAAACAGATTTCTTTCTGCCACAAGTGTTGCCTCTGGCTAATTTAAACCCAGGGCAAAAGGATGATGGTGGGGATGCTGGAGACCAGGCACAGGTCTGGGGGGCCCCCAGAAACTCACCCCAGGGCAAGATGAGCCCACACAGCTGCTATTTGGGGTCTGGGGGTGCAGAGTTCCCTGATGCCTGGGGTCAGCCCTGGTTGGGGTCACCCGTGCAATGAAGGCGATGGCTTGAGGGGTCCCACCGAGCCCTGGGGACGGTCACTGGTGCTGGAGGTGTCCCACCTGCCAGGGCACAGCCATCCCCTCCAGTGCCAGCAACCACCCCTGCACCCCACCACCACCCTCCCTGGCTTTGTAGCAGAGTGAGGCTTTTCAAGCCTGATCTATTAACACGCCGTTAACGGGAGAGGAGTTCATTTTTGCCATTTAACGTTTCATGGATAATTAATTATTCTTCATCTTCCCAGCAAAAAAGGAAGAGCAGGTAGAGGGGCTGTTCAAAGCAAAAAAAAAGCAAGCTGAAACCCGGGGAAAGTAGTGAATTATTTGTAACATCAAAGGCGAGGGAGGATGTGCTGATTTAATGGGGCACTGCACGGTGCAGAGCCCTGGGCAGCGCGGGGATGCTGAGACCGGCACGCACTCGTTGCGTTAGTGGTCCTAGGCAGTGGTGTGGATGAGGAGCCCGGGGGGAGCCCGGCCTTTGCCTGTGCTCCCCAACAATCCCCTCTCACCCTCTCACCTCCCCGTTGTTGTTCACTACTGGTTCAGCCTTCACGTGTCCCCGTGACCCAGCTGGGCACCATGGTTGGGGGGGGGAGAGGGCTGGAAAACCACACACCCCCCCCAGCCCAGTGTGGGCCTCCCACACTTCCCGATGCTTCATCCATCACTGGAGCCAAGTGGCAAAATAAATAATGATATTTAACATTTCGTAATAACGACAATTAACCAGTAAATAATGCCTTTTACACCACAAAAGCCAGAGTAAATTAATTCCCCTAATTAGCTGTCAGGCAGCACAGGGCAATGGCAGCAGTGGGCAAAACTGGCAGCCTCTGCCTGCAATATCCACACCCCCCCCCGAGGCATCGCTGAGTGTCCCCAAACCCCAAATCACACCACGGAATTTTGTGGGTTCGCAAAATCCACCACCACCACCGGGACACGGGGCTCCGCGCCGCATCCCAGCTGCTCTGGCGAGCCCTAAATGACTCCTATCTCCCGTTAAAAAAAATAACAACAACAAAAGATGGCATCAGAATAGTTTATGGCCATAATAAATTGTGCCAGAGGAAAAAATAAAACCTGTTTGCCTTGAAGCAAGCGGGGGTTTCCCATCGACACACAAATGAGATCGTTACCGAGCCCCACGTCCCACCACGGCCGGAGCCGGCGGGGTGGGAAAAGGGGATTTATTGGAAAAAAATTTCCATCATGTTTATCCCACTCACTTGCTCTGGTCTCACCGGTGGTGCCATGGGGGCTCTACTGCAGGGGGGGCATGATGGTGATGGGGGACACAGTGCTCTGTGGATTTGGGGGGGCTCATCCTGGTGGTCCCTGTGTTGCGCTGGGGCCGGGGCGAGCGGAGGATGCCATGTGCTGTGGGCTGAGAAGGGATAAAAATACCATCGGCAGCAGTGTGGGGGCAGCTGGGGAAGAAGGGGGTTGAACCCCCCCTCCCCGTGCTGCCGGCTGTGCCATCGCTGCTGGATGAGCTGCCTTCCCCCACGGCACCAGGCGTTGGTGGGGGCACGGGGATGCTCCTGCCCCACCATCCCTGAGGGGTGGGAAGGATGCGGCCCCCGCCTGCCCCCGCCTTCCCCACGGGGCTGGGGGGCGGCCAAGTCTCCGCCACGCACTCGGTTTGGTTGGACTCTGCCCTGTCCCTCCCCTTGGCTCAGCTCCCGGCTGCCCACAGGGACAAAGACGAGGCCAAGGACAGACATGGCTGCTCCCAGCCAGCCCCACCAGGCCACCTACGACGCCATCGTCATCGGGGCCGGCATCCAGGGCTCCTTCGCGGCCTACCACCTGGCCCAGCGCCACAGGGACACCCTCCTGCTGGAGCAGGTACCGCATCCCCAGCCCTGCCGTGTCCCCGTCCCACTGTGTCCCCAGCCCTGACGTGCTGGGGTGGGCACCTGTAGGCCTTTGTGCCCCTCTGCCCCGGCACAGAGTGGAGCCACTGCCAACACCCCTGGTCCTCGGTGCCAGCACTCCCATGTCCCCGGTGCCAGGGCCCCCGTTTCCTGCTCTCTCCCGGCGCAGTGCCTGGCAGGACAGGCTGTGTCCCCAGGTGCCCGCTGTGGCACAGTGCCAGCCTAGATGGGGCCAGCGGGTTTGGGGGGTTGTGATGGCCACGGTAACCCCGGCGTCCCCCTTGCTCCCCAGTTCATCCTGCCCCACTCACGGGGCAGCTCGCACGGGCAGAGCCGCATCACCCGCAGCGCCTACCCCCAGGTGCCCTACGCCCGCATGATGCCCGACAGCTTCCGCCTCTGGCAGCAGCTGGAGGCCGAGGCTGGCACCAGCCTCTACAGGTGACGGGGACGGGGACGCAGCCCCCGCTGGGCACCGTCCCCTCCCCACGGGGCTGGGGGTTGTGGCTGCTGGCCCGTGCAGGGGCAGCACTGGGCAGGATGAGGCCGTCCTGGCAGGCAGCCGTCGGCTCCGGCTAATTTATGAGGCTCCATAAAGGCAGCGCCAGTGAGGAAATGAGCATCTAAATGATCCCCCACTGCTGGGGTCAGGGCTGACGGCACTTGTGTGTTTGGGGGTGTGTGTGTGCACCCAGACCCTCTCCCTGCCCGTCTCACCCAGCGTCCCGCCGTGGGGAGCCCCAGCACCCGGGTGCAGCACATCCCCAGTGCTGCCGCGCCTTTGTTTCCCCTCAGGGGCAAAACGGGGGGGGTGTCTGCGTGGGGAGGGGGTGTCTGCGTGGAGAGGGGGTGCAGGGAGAGCTGACATGGCTGGTGGGGTGCAGACAGACAGGGCTGGTGGTGCTGGGGCCGGTGGGTGACCCGGAGCTGGAGGCCTGCCGGCACAGTCTGGGTGCTGCTGAGTTCCTTGATGCCACGGCGCTGGCCTGGCGCTTCCCCGGCCTCCGGCTCCACGCTGGCGAGGTGGCCCTGTGGGATGGCACCGGCGGGGTGCTCTTCGCCGACCGGGCACTGCGGGCAGTGCAGGTGGGTGCTGCCGAGGGGACGGGATGGGAGTCCCCTAGCTCCGTCCCTGCAGCCACCTCCCGTCACCATCCCCACCCAGGATGTTTTTCGCTGGCACGGGGGCACCCTGCGGGATGGGGAGAAGGTGCTGCGCATTGAACCCGGGGCCGTGCTCACCGTCACCACCACCGCTGGGGTGTATCGAGCCCCCCGGCTCATCATCGCAGCTGGAGCCTGGACCGGTGCCCTGGTGGCACCCCTGGGTCTGCGCCTGCCGCTGCAGGTAAGGGTTGGTGGCACCTTGGGGTGCTGTGACAGTGGCCAGGGCTAATGCGATGACCCCAGCCCCTGCGCATCGATGTCTGCTACTGGAGAGAGAAGGAGCCGGAGACCCCCAGCATGGGCAGAGCCCATCCCTGCTTCATCACCCTGGGGCTGAGCCAAGCCCCCCACGGCATCTACGGGCTGCCCTCCCTCGAGTACCCAGGGCTGGTCAAGGTGAGCAGGGCCCAGTGGCAGTGGGGGGATCCCCTGGCAGACCCCCCCTGACCAGCTGCCCCCCCCAGGTGTGCTACCACCACGGCAGCCCCGCTGACCCTGAGGAGCGGGATCGGTTCCCCCCAGACACCCCCCGCCCCAACATCACCCTCTTGAGAAGCTTCATCAGCGGTTACTTGCCGGGGCTGGAGCCTCAGCCGGCCGTGGTGGAGACCTGCCTCTACACGGTGAGACCTCTCCAGGGGCAGGACCCAGGTGTCCCGAGTCCCAACCCCTCTCCCACCCCAAGGTGGACCTTGCCATCCTCCCCCCACCCCAACCTTGGGTCCAGGAGAGGACCCTAGACCCCGCACTCTCACACCATGGCTCCCCCAGAACACCCCGGATGAAGATTTCATCCTGGACCGACACCCCAAGTTCAGCAACATCATCATTGGGGCTGGCTTCTCGGGTAGGCGAGGGCACCCGGCCCCCCATCCACCCCAGAGCTGGCCGGGGCCATGGGGGTGGCTGTTCCCCCCCACATCCCCCTTCTCCTTCCCACAGGCCACGGGTTCAAGCTGGCACCAGTGGTGGGGAAGCTGCTGTGTGAGCTGAGCCTGGGCGAGGAGCCGTCCCACAGCACAGCCCCCTTCGCCATCACGCGCTTCCCCGGCGTGCTCCGGGCTGCGCTGTAGTTGCAGGGCCCCAGCCGTGCCCACACGGCATCACGCTGGCCTGCAGCTCTGTCCCTGCACTCGGTGCCTTGACACCTCAGCGTGCTGGCACGCCCGCATCCTCATGGATCTCCATCTCCCTGCATCCTGGTGTTCTGATACGCTGCATCCCAGCACCCCTTCATCCACACCCCCCCGCTACCCTGCACGCCCATGTCCCCATACTTCACCATCGCAGCACCAGCATCCTTGCACCCCTCCAGCCCAGCAGCCCTCCACTGCGCACCCCAGCATTTCCACATTCCAGCACCCCCCATCCCCACAGCCCACCTCCCAGAATCCCTGCATCCTTGTACCCCTGCACCCTGCACCCTGACAACCCAGCACCCCACATCCCAGCACCCCTGCATTTCTGCACCCCATATCCTAGCATCCTGGTACCCTGCACCCCACATCCTGGTACCCTGCACCCCACATCCCAGCATCCCTGCACCCCACATCCCAGCATCCTGGTACCCTGAATCCCCACATCCCAGCATCCCTGCAT